CTTACGGTGGCAAAGTGGAATGAACTGGCATACAGTGACCGCCAAAAAGTTGCGGACAAGCCCCTCTCCCTTTTTCATCGCTCTTTTTCAGAGGGAAAACAAGGATGAAAAAAATGTAATAATTGCATGAGGTGATAGAGCTCTTCAAGCTCTACAATATACACTTTAAGCTTTTTGAGAAACATGTATTCTAAAAATTTTAAGAATCTTTTTCTAAAAAAAGTCCGAAAATGGCCGCGTCACAATGTCGCGGACAATAATTCTTCGAACGCAAAAATTTTCTTTTGAGTCCTATTCTGAAGTGGAAACACAAGTAATCCAAACGGGTAAGCATACTACTATACAGAGCTCGTCAAGAACTACACACTGGTTATGGTTTCTTCCCAGAAAACACAAGCTTGAATTTTATTTTGCTTCTTTTCAAAAAACAACTTCTAATTCCCTGCTTCAAGCCAAATTTCTTCACATGGAAAACCATACAAGACATTCAAACAAAGTTATTCGGATAAAATGGATGCCCTTTGCCATCTTCTGTGCATCGGACGTGTGCTGGTGAGTTTCTTTGCTGAAACTGGCTTCTGACAGTGCGTGTACATGATCCCGCCTGCACATCATCACTGACTTGTACCGCTTTGCAGGCTTGTAACTCGGCTTGTAGTCAATGTGTGAGCCTGCAATTAGGCTCTTTCGAAAGAACGAGACTTCCTTTACACGATGGTATGCAAAAGAGATGGGTATAAGAAAGAGCGGAGATTTGGCGGATGGGGTGAAAAAATGCGGCCTCAGTGGTGGTTGGAGTGAAGGCTCTTATCAACACCAAAACAGTTCTAGAGCTTCAAAATGGATCTGTTACAAGAACATTGACAGTTTTAAGCTTCCAGGATTGAACTGGTAGCGAAAGAAGCTCTATTCAACTTTAGCTGGATATCCTCACCCTACCACTGAGGCTGCATTTTTCCACCCCATCCGCCAAATCTCCGCTCTTTCTTATACCCATCTCTTTTGCATACCATCGTGTAAAGAAAGTCTCGTTCTTTCGAAAGAGCCTAATTGCAGGCTCACACATTGACTACAAGCCGAGTTACAAGCCTGCAAAGCGGTACAAGTCAGTGGTGAGGTGCAGGTGGGGTCATGTACACGCACTGTCAGAAGCCAGTTTCAGCAAGAAAACTCACCAGCACACGTCCGATGCACAGAAGATGGCAAAGGGCATCCATTTTATCCGAATAGCTTTGTTTGAATGTCTTGCATGGTTTTCCATGTGAAGAAATTTGGCTTGAAGCAGGGAATTAGAAGTTGTTTTTTAAAAAGAAGCAAAATAAAATTCAAGCTTGTGTTTTCTGCGAAGAAACCATAACCAGTGTGTAGTTCTTGACGAGCTCTGTATAGTAGTATGCTTACCCGTTTGGATTACTTGTGTTTCCACTTCAGAATAGGACTCAAGAGAAAATTTTTGCGTTCGAAGAATTATTGTCCGCGACATTGTGACGCGGCCATTTTCGGACTTTTTTTAGAAAAAGATTCTTAAAATTTTTAGAATACATGTTTCTCAAAAAGCTTAAAGTGTATATTGTAGATCTTGAAGAGCTCTATCACCTCATGCAATTACTACATTTTTTTATCCTTGTTTTCCTTTTGAAATAGAATGATGAAAAAGGGAGGGCGGCTTGTCCGCAACTTTTTGGCGGTCACTGTATCACCAAAAGTGTCTTGACAGAATTGATTGCAATTTCACCTTCCTGTATATAATGCCGTTTTTCGGAAAGGCTATAATTGTTTGAAAAAGCCAATTTGGCTAACATTTAACGCTACAAGTTCAAGAACTAGTTTTGGAACACCTATTTGGGTTTGATAAATTTGGGAGTTTCTCAAAATCACCGCACTCAATATCATGCTTCTCCTTCACTCCCAAGTGGATTCCAAACGTATATGCATTGAAACTCCAAGAAATTCACACTTTTAGCCGCTCATAAATTTTCTTAGAGAACCGCAGTGCAAACAGAAAGAATAAATTTGTAATTAGCACATCAAGACGCATCCAATGATATGCGTTTCATTCCAGTTTGCTCCCCTCGATTAGGATCGTTCCCTTATGAGACTGAAACTATGAGCCAATGAAATCTGCACAGCGCAATTATCTTATGACTGAGCTGAAGGTCGTAACACGTAACCGAATAATCAAGAAAAGCCCAAGACTGCTAGAAGCATTTTGCCCTTTACAATTGTTCATTAGTGCTCGTATAATCATGAACCGCACTCATATTATGCACCAGAATAGGGGAGAAGAATATGCTTGAGAAAACGTAAGTGATACATAAGAGAAAGTCGTCTAGGCTGAAACATTTGTAGTGCTATAGAGGCATCATTCAAAATCAATTGGTGAAAATCTTCTAGCATGCTTCGATAGAACTTTGACACTTCAGTGAGGAACATGGTAATGTAACAACGAGTTTTGGCATTAAATCCAACTGCAAAAACCAAATTTTTGCGAAGAAGCCAAGCTTGAGCCAATATTTGCAGCAGGTGGCGAGCTTACAAAAACATTAAAATCTGGTATGACCCTTTAGAGGATTTTCATAACAACAATTTCATGGAATGCGGCTCTCCTACAACCGTTTTTATGTTATCTCTATGAGAAAGAATTGTCCCTTCGATCAACTTAATGTTAGTGCTTTCATTTCAGTCGATGCTCTCGTTGCAATGTAATCATCACAGAGGTAACTGAACAGAAATAGAGATTAGAGATGCACTTTGAGAGCCTTTCTGAACAAGCTGTACTTGCGCTGTAAAGTTATTATGGTCACACGATATTTCAAAGGCTCAATTTTTTTTAACCTCTTCGTTGATTATGTGCTTTGAATGACCGAAAATAATGAGCTAAGTCTTATCAGCTGCACCGAGAAATCCACTAATTGTTCGACACAATAAAAATTGCTTTATGTATAGGAATAAGGCTTGAAAATGCATCATTAGAGCTTGTTAGGAATAAATCAAGTACTTGATCATCCACAATTTAGTCGAAACCTGCAGCATACCAATCAACTGTCATCAAAGGTGGAAAAAAAGTAGATTGTTTCTCAAATGGATTATGTAGGAGCCCAAAGAAGCTTTCTAGAAAAGCGTTTGGATGGAAACATTTTTCTATAATTAAAGATCTAAAAACATTTAGAACAGGCAGGTTTGCTTTTTCAACGAAATCCTTGTCCACCTTAATTTCAAGAAAATCTGCATAATTCATTCGACCTTTTCGGCCGCGGTACTGCGGCATATCTTATAATTTACGTCAAGCAAATAATTCTAAGAATTCTACTTTCATCAAAATACTATCAATTTTGTTGTTATTTGGTTTTCATGATTGAATCGATGATATGTGAGAAAATAGACTGACAGTATTACAAAACCTTAGCAGCATTGTTTTCTTTTGCAATTTTTTAATAATCTTTTGGTCCCCCCCCCCACCCACCATCACTTTTTGACCTTTTAGCCTTTCACAAAAGGTTTTCATGAAGTGTCAAAGTTCTATCGATGCATACTAGTAGGTTTTGATCAACTGATTTCGATCACAAGCCTCAATGTAAACGAAAATTTTGCGAGTCCGTCTTATCGTTGTCCACATCAATCAGCTGTTCCAAAGCAAAATCTAAACACACTCGTTATCGACCGTACTGTTTCATTCGCATTTGTTTGTGAGTTCCTGCTTTTCTAGCTTTTCGAACAACAATAAGTGACCGACTGGTTGATTGAAAAGCGCGCTAGCGCTCGAAGTCGACGTATGCATGCAGCGCGCTGATTCGCACAGAAGCCTACTTTGTGATCAAAGCAGATTGTGCAGCCAACAAAAAATTTGAATTCTCTGAAAACCAGAGGAAGGATTATTATGAGACATTAGCACAATCATTAGCGCTCGCTCAGGCACTTGTATGTTATCGGCATTTTTAAGGTAAGTGTTTAGTTTGGCAGTCTAGTCAGTGAACAGGCATAGTCTTAGAACTTTGCTTGTAGAGCTGCAGAGATGTTTGATCGGATAGGTTGCAGATCGTTTTGCCCATTCCAGGCTCTGAAGAAGGCGATCTGCCGAAATGTCAACCACTTAATAAATAATTGATATAATAATAGATAAATAATAAATAATAGATATAACAATCTCGAGTGCTGCTTACATAAACAACTACAAAAAAATGAGAGAGCTTTTTGCATGTATGAGGGAATTTGAAAAGATGGGATTGATTCTGAAGAAAAATCAGGATATCGTGGAAACTTTTCCGTAATTAACTGGATGTCTACACAAATCTCCACATTTTTTCCGGGCCTGCATAAACGATAACCCCTTGCTTTTGCCTCAAGAAGGATACTCAGCTTGAGTCGGTTCAGCTACTCCAAGACCTGATAAAATTGAGCGAAGGCAGAGGAGAATGACAACTCAAGCATATGTTAAGAGGACAAAAACATAGACAGTAAGAATAGCTGCAACGGGTGCATTCTGGCCCGTCTGTTGGCCAGTATTCAATTGTTTTGGGTTTTGCTTTCCAAGAATAGTACAAAATAATTGTGAGTTGGAAATCGTTCGACTATGTGAGGGATAAATAAGTAAAAAACTGTACAGTTTTCCTAATTTCTTTTTGATTGAGTGGGTCAGCGATCAAATAAGCTGATGTGTTGCGCAAATCCTATTCATGATGCTTTCAAAAGGTTGGATGTACTACCTTGTAAAAACTGTGCGAAAATAAACCCTACAAGCGCTGTGCACGTAATGCCAAAATTTGATAAAGTGATTTACATTAATGCCAAACGTATGAAAAGCTCTTACAGATTGAGGTCTTAGAAATGAAATGTGTTATAGTTTTATCACTAGATTTCAATGTAAGCCATAGTTCTATTCCTGCTAACCAAAGAAGCATAGATGGCGGATCTTGGTTGCGCTCAAAAAATCGAGGACTTCAAGTGCGAGGACTCCAGCTGCAGGCACATCAATTGCAGTGCTTATGAGCTCAACGGATAGGTTAGCCTGGTTGTAAACACTTTCGTGCAGGCAAAAATGGCCAATTTCTGCACAGTTTTCTCTTGCCAATAGGTATCTAAAAGTAAGTAGCAATTTAAATTTGTAAATAATCTTATTGTCAATATCTCCAAAAAATTAGTGGCTTCGTCAAAATGGAGTTTCTGCAAATTATACTATCTCCTAAAGCATGGAATGCTGATTTCAAATCTGCTTCCTTACCAAAGACAATCTGCTTCCAACAAAGACTTTTTGGGAGGGCAGTTATGGGAATTTTTACAATGAGATTATTTGAAGCTGTAATCTTTGAGCTCAAATGGGGTCATGATTACTGCCAGGGCTTATGTAGTTAATACCTTCAGTAATAGACCTATGCTACTTGCTCATGCTTACTCACTACTCCTTTCAATCGCCGTAAAGACCACACACCTATTTTTACCTTGGCCAAACCCTTTAATTTTTGTTTCAATGAATTCCCACAACTCCCCTCCCGAAACAGCTTTGCGCATATAAAAGATGGACTTGGAATCAGCATTCTAGGCTCTATAAGATAGTATACATTCTGTATTGAAACGACACTTCGGTAAAGTGTCCTTCCCTTGTTAGGTACACGAAGTTTCTGCTTTTTGTAGGAACCCTTTTGGTGTTATTGATTGATAACGCGAAACCCGAAACCCAGATGGCATCGCTTGTAGCTTTTTATAAGTGGTTGGATTTCAGCAATATTACTTTGAAATACAATCTTCAAGCCAGCTGATGTGAGAAGAATAAATGCGCTAATTATAAATCCAGCGAGTGCGAAGAGTTACAGATATTTTGTGTATTGCTATGCACTTATGATCCCTGCATAAATGTTACCGTCCAATTCATCGGTAACTGGCAGTGTCCCGACAAGATTTTGATTTCCAGTTTTACATGTTTTTAGGGCCTTCTCGCCGTGCTGAACCCATATATCGGCTTATATGCGCATAAAAATAGAATGAGCTTTTTTGAGCTTTCCGTGGCCGCATTCTGGAAAATACGTGTAAATATGCGGAATCCGGAACAATGGGCGGGGTGGAGAACTCTCCGAGTGGATTTTAGGCTGGGCTTGTTCATTTGCTCCGGATCAAACTAAAGCCTAGTTCGGAGATGCACGCTGTAAAATCTCATTATCCATCACTTTGTCGAGTTGTCTTCAATGTCCAAAGTGAAGGTATATATCCAAAACCTCAAGTGAACAAAAAGTTTTCGTCTCAACTTCTATTCTTCTCCTCAGACAATTACAGGCTCTCAGCCGGCAGCCACAAAGCCACCGCGAAAACCCACCAAAAGTGCGGTAGCCTCATCGCCTCACTGTCGCTTCCCGCTGAGAACCGTGTCAGAACTGGCAGCGAGCGGGCTGCTATAAAGCCTTTAGCGCAAAGCGAAACCGCCGCTTTCGCTTCGCGCTGAAGACTTCATAGCAGCCCGCTCGCTGCCACTCAGACACTCGCTGTTGACTCGCGCAGCTCAAAGTTTTGTGTAAGCGCTGAATGAAAGCGCGACACAACTAATCGGCCTCGCGACGAAATCCCGAGACAGCATTATGTGTCGGAACAATGCTGCCCGAGACAACGCTTTGACGCGACCCGCATCTTGCAGGAAATACGCAGCAGCTCGAGGGCGACACATCCTGATGTCCGGACGCAACTGGAGCGCGTTATCTCGCAGTAGTAATTTCGCTATATCCCTACTTTCTGTACGTTACATATATGTATATACTTACATGTGTATGTGTAAATATACATTATATATATTTATATATATACTTATATAAATGTATATACATATATGTATATATATGTATGTATATATGTACACGTATATATATGAATTAAGTCTAAACTAGCCAATTTATTACTTCTAAAATAACATAAGGATTGATTAGAAACTTCATTAGCACATAGTGAATTTACTTCAGTCTTAGGGACATTTCAATATTAGAGTTATGTTCAATGTAGCCACGCAAGAAAATCAAATAAGAATTTTGGGGAAGTCAAACTACTATGTTTACTATCTTAAAGCTTCACAATATGGAGATACATGATGAGATAGAAGTGTACTTGGTAACCGTTTAAACAATGAGAATCTCGGAATGCAAATAAGTGATACGCAAAAGCGGGAGTAAAGTTAAGGCAAATGATATGATAGTGATATGTAAGTACAGCAAATTAGAAAAAAAGTAGTAGCAGATGGGCTAAAACTCGTCGGGGCTAGTCTTTTCTATTTCCTTAGCAGCACTTCTGAAAAGAAAAAACCATGTCGACGAAGACAGGGAATAAGTGCACTGGCATCTTACCTTTGGAGGAAGGAGTTTAGCTCTTAGTGGATTCAGTACATAAGCCCGTACATCCCTCCTGCAAAACGCAAGATGGAATGTACATCTGCCTTATCAATACTCGAATAGCTTACAAGGCTCTTCCGAGGGCTATGCGAGCGAAGACCACCCAATCCATCCTGGCCTGTGAGAGCATGTCGAAGGCTTTTAATCGCTTCCTATCGTCCTTTCCAAGAATTGTCCACCATCTGAATCAATGAAAAATAGTAATGCAAACTTAGGATTCGATTTCTAGAGAAGAAGCTTCAAAACTGGACTTTAAATAAAGTTAATTTTGGATTGGAATGAAATGTTGGAAAGAAGAGGGCTTAGGTGGGATGGATGGAATGCACGAATTTTGAAAATAGGCAGCAAAAAAACTTGGAATGATGCAATATGAGCTGAGATTTGAAATGCGCGTCGATATTGCGAAACTGCTCGCTGAGTCACTCATCATCTTCCGATTTTCTTTCGCGACTATCCGCAAAAACTGGCAAAATATTGTCTTGCGCATGTCTACGCCCTTTCCCGCGATTTCCTCAAAAGGGGCGGATCTCCGGCGCGAGTCAACAGCGAGTGTCTGAGCAGTTCTCAGCGGGAAGCGACATTGAGGCGATGAGGCCACCGCGCTTTTGGTGGGTCTTCGCGGTGGCTTTCTGGCTGCCGGCTGAGAGCCTGTGATTGTCTGAGTCATGTTACGGAAGCCCGTACGTGCACTTACATGGATTGCATTTGAGCTCTCTAATATATGCCCTGAATCGTAAAACAGATTCTGGCTTTCTGGCAGGACTTATCTTATATATAAAGCTGAATGTCTGTTTGTCTGTCTGTCTGTCTGTCTGTCTGTCTGTCTGTCTGTCTGTCTGTCTGTCTGTATGTCTGTATGTCTGTCTGTCTGTACGTATGTTCCGAATAGAAAATTCCATTTCTGAACCGATCCGAACCAAACTTGGCACACATACACATCGGGCCTCGGCGGGTGTCATAGGCCACTTTTCGTCATCGATCGGTATCGATTTTATCGATTTTTGCAAAATTTGAGCTACGGAGCTGGGAGTTGGCACAGGGGGTAATCGAGCATGCTGATTACGAATATAATAATGACAGGGCCAGGCGGAGCCGGGTAAGTCAACTAGTATTATAATACAAGCCTACGAGTAAGTATTTTCTGTTTTTTTTTGTTCTGATCTAATAATCTAATATAGCCTTAGAGTTATCAGCATATGGCATTTAGCCTATCAGTCAGGTCAATGGGCATCGAAGTAGAGGTGATGATGTGTTATGAGCTCTTTTCAACTGATCGTGTTTGTAATCAGTTTTGATGATGCTGTTACTGCTATATTTTTGGCCGATAAATATTGCCACAAATGTTTACAATCTTTGATGTTTGAAAAAAATAAGCTTACCTGATTTGGAGGCGAATTTACTAGTAAACTTGAGATGCTTTTTTTTGCAATGCACTTTACCACTTACTGACTGGAGTTTTCTTTTTCATTCTATAATTTTTGTGATTCATCAAAAACAACGTAACAATCATTGATACAGCTGTTTCAGAAAGTGTGCTGGTTGGATCTCTCGCACGCAAAACATTGCTATTTCAGCGGATGCTTGGAGGTCTTTTTTCTGGCTGCGCTTACGAATACATCGCTTTCGAATTACTGGGAGAAAATGGAACAGAGGTTACATACTGTTGCGGCTCCGACGTGCTCAGCACTCTAGCCCCGTACGACTTCCAACACACAACCAATCCCGGCCCTAAGATCTAACGTGTCCACCATCGACGGGCCCTTCGGCGCGTCCACTCGACGCGATCATCTACTCTACTACTCACGACATAACGGGCGTCTAGCTTAAGTAAGTTTATGAAAGAAATAAGGAAATATGAACATGCCACAAATACAAATATACACAACAAATGCTAAACTACTAAATTCTAAACTATCAGGAAGTAAATGAGAACGACAGAGTATAAACACGAGGCGAGCCAAGGACCCACGTGCTGCGGATTAACTTGGCTCACTTTGAATAAAAGGTGTCTGGGTTCCTCCAAGGACCGCCGCTGGAAGCCCAGGCCCACGAATGGGACGGCGCGATCCCAGTTCCACTCCCGCAGCCATGTTCGTCCGCTAATATAAGATACTTTCCTGCGCTTACGCGGGTACGACATACAAGAATGACGAAAAGCCCAACATCCAAACACGAAGATCCTCCCCTGCTGGAGATGGTAGAATCGAGGCCAAGTGAGAACTGAAGATAATTGATAGGACGAAGGTTGATGAGGTACAGACTGCACTCTGCTCAGCCTTATATACCCCTCAACTTGGCATCGTTCCCAGTCGGAGGTGGTCCTGCAGAAGCCTACAAGAGGCGCGACAGATAAACGCAGCATCGCGCCCCGGCACCTGTTCCACGGAGCGTCTCTGCATCGCGGAGCCGCGACACATACAGAATGAGAGCTACATGCACTTTCTAGCGAGCATCTGCTGAAGTGAAACCAACCCCAGCGTAATGAAGTACAGAATGTAAATCGCGGTCTCCATAGGGCGAGCTGACTTTGGAATGTGAGATAGAAGCCTCACGACTCATCTACAGCCTGAGAGCGAGGGATCTAGCCAAATCTGTTCTTCGTTATGTATCCGACAAAGTTGGATTCCACAAACGTTAGATGCAGCGTACCTGCAAAACCCGAATATGGGGATTTTCGGCTTACCTGGGCTTATTCGACTCGCTGTCCTATTTTGCAGCTCACAAGGGGCGGATATGTTAAGAATGGACTTTTTCTAAAGTCACTAGATTTGAATTGGGATGTGAGGACGCAAAACCAGGAAAGGTTAAACACAGAGTCGCTGTGGGACTCTGCGATCGCCGCAAGATTCGGGCCATCAGGGCAAATTCTAGGCTTAGTAGACCCTTTTTTCCCTGAACTTCTGCCATCGCTTAAATTGCAAGTCTATTATTAATTCTTTGCTACAAAATCCCACTTTGCCGGGACGCTGTCAAGGTCTTTCATAAATTATAATCACAATTCTTACATACATATTAGGTTGCTGCATAAGTTCTGTCCGATTTGAATTTTTTAAGTTCGTGTCATAACTTCTTTCAAGGGCAACTTTTTTCCAAGATCTTAATTTTCCTGCGTTGAGCAATTCCTTGGCTATCAGGTGCTTATTAAAACCTGCGAAAATATTTGTTAAGAAAGAAGCAAGAACTCAAAAACTTAGCAGCGTTTTTCTTCATACCTTTCTTTTCTTTGACATGGCAATGCTTCCTTATGAAAACTGATGGGCATATTGTCTAACAATGGATAGATGGAGAATTTTTCATAGACTATTTTGCGTTATAAAAGAGCCCATAGGGTCTGCGTTGCCAAGAGATTTTTTTGACCGAACAAAAAAAATTGGCCACTTTTTGACCTCGCTTCAGCGCATGTGTGCATGCCTATTTACGAGTTACGAAAATTTTACAATTGACGTGAGGTCGAAAAGGAATTGATGGATGGGCCCTGCTAGCTGTTGCTTTACCCTAGCACCTCCAACTTTGAAGTCGTCGATTACTTCTATTCGCAGAAAGTTATAGCTTGTAAAACATCTATACAGAAAATTAATGTTCGACGACAAATTTCACTAGCAAGACGTTTTCTTCATAGAACTGAACTTAGGCATATATTAGCCTTCTACACCCTTATTCCGCAGCCAATAAAAGAACTTGACTTGAAAGGCGCATTGTGGAGATTTCCTCGCAGGAACATATTTCTAGGGTAGGAACGTACCCCACTTGGAGATTTTAAACCTAAAATCTCCTTTCACTAGGAAATTTGTTGAAATTTGATATGCTATAGAAAACGCAAGAAAAACACTTTCTAATGATGCTAGCAATGCCGCATTAGAGATAAAATTCTCTTGGAAGAGCTGCTTCAAACATAAGGCAAAAAAAATCGGAACACAACTTATGCAGCAACCTAATATATACATTTCTTTGAAATTCTGCCAGAGTACCCCTTATGTATGTAGGTTGTGCTGTGACACTCTTCACAACCTTGCCCCCTGACCTGATCATGACATCAAAAAACCCAAGTCAGGATGATTGCAGTGTTGTAGTTGTACATTCTAGTTCCGCTATAAGTGCAGACACCAAAGAGCACCGCTCTAAACGGTGCATTGCTTAACAGCAGAATTTTTTTTTGCGATATTCAGAAAAGGTTGCAAGTACTGTTTCTTGCCATCGCTCAGACAATCGCAAATGTTTCGGGAGGACTCTGCTATTGGGCCGTGTGAGTGGGCTCCGCCCTACCTAACCCCGCCCTACCTGGCAGCTGCAATAAGAGTGTCCTCCGATAATTGCCCCGGAAGTCATTTGCGGTTGTCTGAGCGAATAATAATGGTGCATTCTCTTTTGATTGTGCAAGGATTTGCAGGTGTTCTTTTGCAGTCGATATTATGTTTAGGCCGCTTGATACTGTACAGTGTTCTATGAAATTGCTCTGCCCTTTTAGAGTCAGGAAAGTGACTATCGACGCTATAAAAGCGCATGATTGGTATGATTCGCGGAAGTCATGTCCAAGTGTTGCATCCTACTTTTCTTGGTAAGTTACAGGCTGCCTTGGACGCAAACTTCTTAATTCAACGGTTACAGAGTCTGTCCTATGGTTATTCCGACTCACCTAGCAAATCAGCGCTAAGAATTTCTCGCATTGGCGGAGACTTTCCTTGGCTGTATTTGGTGTTGAAGGGTACCACAAATGTATCGTACGAAGTAAGTTTAGCAACTGTAACGAGTTTCCCACCTTTCATGACCGTGAAGTACGCATTATGTAAATGTAGGGCAGGACCAATTGTGTGGAAGTGTATTTGAACGGTGTGAATCAGATAGAAATTCCCGAGAGGAAACACTTAGTAAGACAGTCGGATGTTTCCCCCCTCATTGTCACAAAAAAGGCTGGCAAATTTTGGCGACAGTAAGGTCTGTTAGATTAGGTCACTCTCAAGCTGCAATAACATGACAAGAAGCAAAACATAAAATCTGTATTCAACATTGCACGTCACCTCTGTAGACAAAGTTTTTGCGAATATGAATTTTTTAAACGTTCAAAAGTGGCTCTTAAAGGCAGTGTCCGGGCAAAAACTCGATTTTGAGATTTCGTGCTTACCCGGGCCTATTCGCTATGCTGAATCCGAAAATCCACATTGGAGAGCGCGAAAACGACGAAAAAGGGCTCTAACACTGGAGGGAAATCAGCAAGTGGGCGGGGTCTTCCCCACTGTGAATTCACGCTTCCAGCTTCCAGAGCAATTTTCTCGAATCCGTTAGCCGCCCTAACATCACTACCGATAAAGTGCAAACGAATGACTTGAAATTGGAGTAAAAAAGATCACCCCCGAAGCTGGGAGCGTGAATTCACCGTGGGAAAGACCCCGCCCACTTGCTGATTTCCCTCCAGTATTAGAGCCCTTTTTCGTCGTTTTCGCGCTCTCTAATGTGGATTTTCGGATTCAGTATAGCGAATAGCCCTGGGTAAGCACAAAATCTGAAAATCGAGTTTTTGCCCGGACACTGCCTTTAAAGTTGTTGGGTTTACCCATAAGAATTTTTCGAGAGGTCCCGTGTTTGTTGTGAACGCTTGTACTCAGACAGTCGACGGGATACCTCCGGAGCGGAAGTGGCAGAGTCGCGGGCTCTGCCCAGCGGAGGTTTGCCACTCGTGCTCCGGAGTCCTGTCATTTTGTGCTCCGGAAGTCTGCAGCGGCATACTGTAACTTAATTAAGCTCCAAACCCCAATTATGTCTCCAAACCCGACCCAAATCAGCTCTAGACCAGGCTCGAGCAAACGGTGTGGCATACGATTGCGAATACGACCCTTCCACCCCCGGGTAGGAATTCAGCGCGACCCTCAACGCCGTTCTCTAACCCCTCCCCCTCTCACCCCTAGCGTTTGTATATAGAAAATAGAAGAATGAAGAGACAAGACATTTATTCCAAATTGACTGCAAACAATCTACTGCAAATTGCAAAACGAAGATATGTCGTGGCACCATTGCACATCTTCATTATCTAAGGCTGCGTTCATACTGATCCCGAAGTAAGGGAACAGTTCCAGCACAGCGCTCAATTTGAGCGCTGTGCTGGACCTGTCCCCGAACTTCCGAATCAGTATGAACGCACCCTAAACAGAACAGCTTTCGCAGTCGTTGCACCTTTTGCCATAGTATTGCACGCTCCCCACAGGGTATTCGTGCCAGGACCACGTTTAACTCGCCGTCGAAGCCGCTTCATTCGCGTTTGCGGTTGGAAACTGTGTATGAGTAATTGTTGCCAAGCTGACCCTGTGGTTCACACGACAAATCACTCGGATCACATTAAGTATTTGGAGAAAAGAAAATACGCACTCTGACCATACTTTGCGTTTCCTCGTAACTAACAGAAGCTCAGCTAACTGCTAGAAAACACTTTCACCCTTGTTTTCCCATCAAATGTGAGACAGATCAGTCGAGCGTTTCGATACCCGTTCAAATGGGTGAACTTTCCAAAGAAAAAAGCAGCTCTATTCTGTTTATCACGGATTTGAAGCATCTTTCGAAAACTGGTGCTAGTAAAAGTCAAGAGCGAATGCCACAGAATGTTCGGAGTCTCGCCCTTCTTAATGAGCTGCTGATTTGCATAACATCACTTTGATAGGTGCAGAAAGCTTTATTTTACCACAGAAACTAGTATAGTTTACCCATTATCTTAACCACGGAAGAGTGATGGCTTTAAATCTCGCTATATTGTGGGTAGCTTTGAGAAATCAAGATAGTGTGAACACTGCGAGGTTTGTTCATGCATTGACACTGAGCTCATGCCAAGGTACAGTCCAACCTGACAGCTTCAGGAAGTGTATGCTTTCGTAGCAAAGCGAAAGTCACTATTTGTAATATGTGTAAACAAGAAGACTTGAACAACGGGACATGGGTTCTAACGATGGTGTAGGCTAAAATGCACACCAAGCAATATTTCCTTGGATTACTTTGCCCAAAACGTTTTGCGCAAGCAAGTATTGCAAAAGAATAGAGCGCATAAAGCTTATAACCACAATAATCAGACGGTCATAGCACTGTCTCAGCATGTTTTTGGAGAAGACACGATGTCCTCCCGGCAAGAATACCCAGTAGTTATCGTGCAGGAATCTGTGGCAAAAGGTGCAACGGCTGCGAAATCTGTTCTGTACCATCAGTATGAACTTGATCAAATGCTAGCATCTTGACTCCGATGCAGTTAGACACAAGTCACTGAATGGACAAACACCAAACAAAACTTCCGGCGATCTGCAAACCGTACTTTGTTTGGATGCATGGAAGACATTCAGTAGCGGAAGATGATCAACATCGACGCGCGCAAATCGTGCCTTCCCTTCATCCATTTCATTTGGTTGGCCAAACCCCTAAGGAACTGCAATGCCCTAATTAGTCCGCATTATTTTGGTTCACTACCTTGCTATCGGATAGCATCGCAGGTATCGACAATATCTCATTGGAATTCAACTCTGTTCACGTAATTAGCATTTTCGCTTTGAACATTGTAGATTGAACTCTAACATTTGAGTTCAAAAAAGACCTCACCCATCTGCGGATCTAGAGAGAATTCCGCCATCAGAAAAACCAACTCTGTCAGTTCATCATCATCGTTTATAGCGGCAAGATAGTAGTTCTAGAGCTCTCATAAGAGTTTCTGGAGTTGGAGGATTCATGGAATCAAAATGTACGAGATTTTCAATGCCTAGCTTCTTGAGCTGCAAAAATACCAATCCTAGATTTGAACTGGAATACGATAAGTAAGGAAGAACACATGTCCGATTGGAAGGGGTCACCAAAGTATCTCCGGGTACGTCTGCTCCTGCATCTCTTCTTGATAAGCTTTCTCCGTATATAACCGCAAACATTTTCCTAAAATGCGAAGTTTCCCAATGTGAGAACGATTAGAAAAACTAACTAGGCTTAGTACGACCAGCGTGACCAGCATGTTGCATAGCACTAGCTTTAGATATCGGACATACTAATAGTGACTCAAAACCAGGATTATAAACTTCTCGTTTCGAAAATCCAGTATCTATCACAAAAACCAAACCTAAAACCTGAAAACCTGAAAAGAAGGAACTGAACAAATAAACACCAAAAGCGCCGAAGAGCAACACGAAAAAGAAAAAGAACGGAAAAGAACGCGGGAAAACGACAGCAAGTCGAAAACGAGAGCCGCACACCAAAAGTGATTGAGTGCATCCGCACGGAAATCCGAAACGTAAACCTGAAAACGAGGAACGTAGAACAGCGCCACAACGAGCAACACGAAAAACCAAAAAAAAAGAAAAATGAGCGCGAAAGAACGTCAAAAAAAGAGTAAGTCGAAAGCGGCGGCAGCTTATTTTCGAAAATGCCAAGCTGCGTATCACAGCAAATTGGCTGCGTACCTATTGTGCTCCGGGGCTCGTCCAAATCTGGCGTACCTCCGGAGTAAAGATGCAAGCCCGCGGGAGGGGTCCCATCCGCCTTCTCGTGACGTCACCGTGACGTCACAAGAAAGGACCGCCCCTCGCCTCGCCCAATGTTTAAGAAGGCCCTCCAGAGCTCTGCCAGATTTCGACTGCCCTCCGGAGCTACGGCATCGATTGTCTGAGTACAGCAAAGTTCCATGCATCATTCTGAAGTTGAGACAAGTTGAAGTGTCAATTCTGGGAAAACATTGTTTTCGCTGTCGGTTCAATGTGCCCTGGTAAAAGTGGCGGGTAGAAACCGTTCTTGATCAGAGGTCCTAATATTTCTTGAAGCAAAAATCTTCGTTTCGCCACTTTTTCGTTGCCGTACTTATCTCTCTCATGGTAAAATGTTATTAATGGTTATCAGTTGTTCATATTTACAATTTGCCTTCGATGCTATACGCAAACTTAGTAAAACTTGAATAAACTTCTTTGTGGCTTGTTTCGTGCTTGAAGTGGAAATAGTGTTTTGTACATCCCATAGCAGAAGGGAGGGTTTCCATTCTATAGAACAAAGCAAGTAAGAGGCCGTAGATAATGCGCAAACTTAAATCTGTGCAAGTTTTAGAGCCATCAAAATTCTTATTGTCTAAAATCTCCGTTTAGAAAACCCCTGCGAAGTTCTAGCTTGCTCACTATGATCTCTTCACATCTGACTTGAATGTACAATTGCTGTTTTTTTCCATGGATAAAAATTAAGAAATTAGGTAGAAAGTATTTAAAAAACTCTCGTTTTCTGGATAGTCGCACCAAATTTAGAATTCCTCGAGAACCAGCCACTGTGGAAGTCTAAAAGCTCATAAATCACGCTTGTGATGGCCTGTAGTGTGACACTACCAATGTAGAAGAAGCCCAGGACTGCTTCGACGAAAGCAGTCCAAATTTCGTTTTTCGATGTTAGCCATGAAAACATTACAGCAACTGTGCATTTAAGTGTCCAGTTTTGTGCGCAAATGGGTGAACAAGTAAGGACGCGCAAGTTTTTTGGCGACGATGCAATTTTTCGGTTTCTTACAATTAGGCACTTATGTTTACAAATTTTGGCTTCAAACTTCAAATGTTTCAAACTTGGTGCGAACGTTTGAACCTCAACTTGTGATTCGCTCCTAAAACTGATTTGCTCTACGATAATAAGAATTCCTATCAAGCCAATACCCAAGTCGCGGCGCGAAATGTCGCTTCGAAGGCGAAAAAATCGCTCCAGAATAACGGAGAGGTACGAGGACTCCAATTCGGCACCGCCCCCGTCAGTGATGCCCGCCCATCCGTGCCTGTCAAACCAATCGCGACAACCCTGCAGATTCTCCCAAACGGGTCGGGGTTTTCGCGGATTCTTTTCTTCATATTCAAAATCAGGAACATGAGAAGGTTCCGGAACATCAAAACATGGAAATCGAGAATCTGGGAGGGCGATGCGTTTAAAGCACCTAAATCCTCATAGCAGGCCCTTCTGCTATGCTGTGAAGTCAATTTTATTGCGTAGTTCAAGTCGCTTCCTCACTCGAAGGTTTCCAATTACCGATAAAATTTGGCGCTGTTTTCTTAGGTATATTATTTCCCTAGATCACCCCACGTAAGAATTCACTAGTTGCGCATGTTGATGAAAAACATGATTAGACTGATCTTACCAATTTTTCAGTATGATGAGCAGCTAGAGAATAGATCTATCGACTACCTAAACAACTCGGTAATCACATACAACAAGTCAATGATCTATGACTTCCCGCTGGATTACTTCTTCGAGTTCGTTTCTCCTTTCTTATAAATAACAGAATTGATTCAACACGCTCAATTTTAGTGGGTTCTACTATTACATGACGGATCTGCCACTTGCTGTTGAGATGTGGGCTTCAGATAACGAGTCTTCGATGGTACGGTATTTTTCATAGCTAATGACAACTACCCTAATTTCACGCGTACAAGGCGCGGGGGATTTTTTCCAAAATTGACTAGCCCAAATACGCTAAAGAACTTTGCAGCCAAAGGACCCTATGCCGTGCTGTATATTGCTTAAAAGAATCGTACGGCATAGAATTCGCTTTTCGAGATACTTTGGAACGGCTGAGGGGTTTGATTGAAAAATCGGAAAAGGTGCGCCTTGTACGCGTGAAATTAGGGTAGTTCTGAAAAAAACTTTATTCGCATAATCAATGCTTAGGAAAGATAGAAATGCTCTATATGTCTTTGAATCTTTTTAATATGAAGTAATGCGAAGTACTTCAGAAAGACATTGCGTGTAGTTCCAAAAAAATTGCTACCTGGTGAAAGAAAAAAAGTTTGAGAGTTTGTTAGAATACTTTGACTCAAAGCGTAAGTCATTTGTGCAAACACTAGCTCAAGAATTGTATTTTCGAATAGGGAGCGAGGTAGCTGGCATATGGCTACATGAAGCACAACTGCATCATCTCATGTATGCTCTATGCGAACAGTGATTCTTGAAAGGCGACAGAAAAGTGTTAAATGTGTTAAATTCATCCAACATTGACTGAGAAAAGGATATCAGGTCGCATTGGCAATATGAAAGAGAACGCATATTGGCAATGCATTTCAAACAGCTATTTTTCCAATCCTTAAGCTGCTGAACGAGAAAAAATATAAGCGTGAAATACGAATTTGACCACCATTTTGTGAAATGTTTAACATAGGGTCAAATACCTATGTGTGTGTGTGTGTTTCTTGTGGCTGAAATTCTTTTTTTTCTTTTCTTTCTTTTTCTTAATTTCTTATTTAGCTTCGATCCATCTCAAGTTTGAAGCCAGATTCCAAAGAGGTTTGATTGTCCAAAAGAAAGAAAATTTATACCTTTGTTCAACTTCATAGGATCTCTCACTCGCTTCACGCATATGCATTCAACATCAGACACTCATATTTCCCGTTGCTGGTTTTTTCTTTGGCTACAAAGTAGAGCATACTAGAATTTTTATGTTTCTGCCAAAGTGCTGTTGCGCCGATCCCTCGTAAGTGAATGTGTACTACAAACCTAGAAGTAAAACCGTGAAATTTTAGCTTTCCGCAAGCTCTGGATTTCAAAAAATATCACTTTGCTCTAGACGTTCGAGTAGAGAAACTGAAATCGATGATTTTTAAGGCTCACTTGTAGGAAGCTGGAATTTCACGGTTATAATTGTACAGGATTGTAGTATGCAATTATTTATGAAAAACCACAGCTTTACTTCGGCAAAATATGAAAATTTTCGTTTTTTTCGCTTTCTCGTTCGGGCAAAGGAAGAAATACGGCAAAGCTTTATTTGAAGGCCTGCCGAGTGCATTCGCATAAGCGAGTAAGTAGAAATTTGCCGAACAGGAATATAAATTATTTTTCAAGTCTTTTGATGCCGGAATAAGTTGATATATGGGACACTTATCAGTCCCTGACTTTGGCGATACCGCCGTGGCGTAAAATGCGCTCTAGAAAAAGGCGATCCTTTCGCCCAAACGTTAGGTAATAATAAAGTGTTCGTATCGACCTATTATGGCAACAGAAAATTTGAAGAAAAATCACTCAATATGCCAGACTGTTTCAAGATAAGAGGACATATGAGATGCTCAAAAGAGATAGATTTTTATTTCTTGGACAAGGGATTTTTCAGATTTTGGCTTCAAACTCGGAACGAATTTTGATCTGAAGCAAAGTCATGAGTGCCTTCACGTAGGCTTGTTTTCTCTCAAATGGTATCCTGCTAATAGGAGGTGTATGACTTATCCCGCTCGAAATTTGAAATGGAAGAAAATTATGAAAACTTGATAGATACTGCCAATTCTTCAAAACCATTCAGCAGACCTGAACGGATGGGCTCACAGTCAGCATTTGAAGCTGCTCGTGATGTCAATGGCCTTATTATCCTCCCTTCGTAAAAGCTAGCTTAAGGTGACTGATGCTCACTATCAAATTCTTTATCAAATGGGCTATGGAGCGCACGAAATTGACATAAAAGAGCTTTTCCCGGGCATTTTATATCCGCATTCGCCGAAAATGCAAGTAAGTGGATAGAGTCCGGCCCGAAGTAGTAGGTTCTCCATACGCGTTTTTTCGCTTTAGATTTCACTAATACGTTAACTGGGAGGTTAACTATTGCAACCCTGTAAAATCCTAGTACCCATCACTTTGCCTGGACGGTGCTGCCAAGCGTTGTGTTTCGCACTGCACTTTTGCATACCTCAGTACTGTTTATCATTTTTCGTAATGCTCCTACATTTCCAATAAAAGCGGAAGCCATATTGGCCCGAAATCCGTTTCAAAATCGTGGATTTCCCTCAAACTTGGTACCTGGGAGTTATCTGACATGGTAATCACGAATTTCACGCTTTTCTCACTTTTTCTCTCTTCGCTTTCTCGTATAAAAAAGTCATTTTATGTGGATAAGCTGTGTCATCAGTACGTGAGTCAGAACCTCAGATTTGTTCAAAATTTCATGTAGATAGCTCTTCAGCATCATATCCCGATTATTCTCGACTGCACCTAAAAGAATCTTTTGTATGCTTTGAGTGGGCGAAGTGCCGAAGCTTTGGTTAGATTTAAGGTTTCGATCCAATCCGGTAGACGATATAAACCATAACACCAGAAAGTCGCGCTACTTCGCAAAATCGACACCATATTCGTGGTCAGCGTGCTGTGGCCGTATTCATCAACGAACCCTGAGGGTTAAGCTTACCCTCCAGGGTTAGTTTAACCCTCAGGGTTCATTGGCCGTATTCATCAACCATAGGCTAGGGTTTACCACGGAACGCGATCTACCCGTATCGATCAACGAACTTGTGGCCGTATTCATCAACCCTGAGGGTTAAATTAACCCTGGAGGGTTAAGGCGTCAGTTACGCGTGCGCTGTGCAAACTCACATCACAGAATGCCTGAGTACGGGCTAAATTCACTTTATACTTCTATTCTTTCACTGTTATAGTAGTATAGTCAACGAATAAGCTTCTATCACTAGTTTTTATAATACATCTCTAGCATACTTGAGCAGCATCCAATCTTACAGCGTGAGCTTATTTTCATGTGTGCAATTGTGCAGTGTAAGTTCTACTTTTGCGCAGTTCGTTTTATCCGGGCTTGTGCTACTCTTTTAGGGGTCAATGCGTGTTATTATAGAGGGGTTTTTCTGTTTTGGCACTTGTCAGAGTGGAATGCGCAACCATTTTTCCTCGTTGCATCATTCATTTATCACCAAGCTAGGATTTTTTTTCTCGCGAAGTCAGTGTTTCATGTACTTCGAATATGAACATAAAACGAAGTCGAAACTAAATACTATAACAACAACCAATACTAAATACTACAATACTCGTTGATCGTTTTCCATAAACTATTAGATGCGATTAAATGTTTGTATGAAGTGTTAGGGTAGAGTTAACCTTGCTCTGAGCTAGGGTTAAATTAACCCTGATGAATCACGTAAGTTTAACCCTCCAGGGCTAGTTTAACCCTCACGGTTCGTTGATGAATACGGGTTAGTTGCTTTCGGGGTAAAATTAACCCTCAAGGTTAGATTTAACCCTCAGGGTTAAGCCTACCCTGTGTTTCATGAATACGGGTTAAACGCTTTCCAGGGTTAAACTAACCCTCCAGGGTTAGTTTAACCCTCGGGGTTTGTTGATGAATACGGCCACTGAATAACTCATACGGTCCAAAAAAATAACCAATCGATTTTTTGCCACCCTTGTAGCATGCTTTCCTCTTATAACTATACTATAACTATAACTCAAGGATTTACGTTTTCAAAAATAGAAAAGTTCGTTTCCTCCTGTATTCTGCTGTGCCCTGCAGCGAGCGGAAGTTTCGCGATCAGCCATCTCAAAATCAAATTGCGCAAAGTTCGCAACGCCGCACCTGTTTGCAATGGTTTGCTGTGTAACACTCCTTAATCTAAACAGAAAAACCTGGCGCAGGATGAGAAAAATACATTGAACAGTAGACTTGTGCCTATTCAGTGACATTATTATATTTAAAGGAGACTGACTGTAGGAAGCAGGGGACAGTTGCAAACTCACTGATGCATCATGTGCGCCAACAGTCTGAATCGTTGATTTCTATCTCAGAGCATTACGCTTCTCATACTATCTACTTCAATACTACCTGCATAGCTAAATTTTTCACTCGCTTTATTGCCGCTGAATAACCACATCAAAATAAAGCGTTATAAGATTCGCCGTGCAAAAAAAGTCGAAAAATGCTCTATGAGGTTGTTGTAGACAAGAACAAAATCAAGACAAATAAATGAATGATGGGCAAAACAAAAAATAATGATATCCGAATTGTCTGCTTTAGCGGCATGTTTTCTTGTCTACTTGAACCATCGCCGTGTCCAGTCAGAGTTCTTCGTAGTTCTGAGCGGAGTATAAGGCATTGAGGCGGCCAAGAATGAAATAGTATGATGATGCTAGGTAATGTTAAAAAGGTTGAAAGTTTGTGCGAAAAAAAGAAGAGAAGATAATGCCTTTGTTTTCTCTGAGCTAGCCAGCCTTTCTTTCGTTTTCTTCTTGCGTGCGGAAGACCAAACTCGGTCATTTGTGGACCCCGTCACATAGGTGTGCAAAGGTATGCCTAAAAAATTGCTTAACATGGTCACAGGAAATAAAGCAAGTCAAGTATTTTACAGTACGTAATATGTTTTTGTTTTCCTAAGGATCTGAATATAAAATCGTTCTGACAGTTTCCTTTGGCGCTGTGTAAAAACACGTAAGATGAATATAGAACTCTGTGCTAAGAAACCACAAAACCATTCAACAAAACTTTTTTTCTTACTTCGAAGATCATGTTTTACACATTTCCTTTTGTAACTATTAAAGTGTCCTCCATGTCCTCCAACATTCTGAACTCATTTTATTTTTGACATGCCCTTTCCCTCTTAAACTTTTGGTGCTGTGATAATAAGTGAATAGAGCAAATAAAATGCTGCTATAAAAAAGATTTTTTTTTTGATTTCCAGCCTTTCAATATCAAACTATTTTTCTGATCTTAGCAAATTGCTATTCGGTCAAGCTAAACTCCACAGAACGAAAAGCTTGTTGGAATCACCAAAATGTTTCTTCATTCTCATGTTATCAAAATTTTTCCAAAAGTTGAAACTAAGTGTGCTGAAAAGTTGGCAAAGTTTCGTGGTAAGTACCAAGGCCAGAAACTTATTATTATTTATTATTCTAGTGACTACAAGAGCAGCTAGTTTAAAACATGACTGTGAAAAAGGGCTGGATATCGGACAGTTAGTGTTTACTCATCTTCAAACGTTCTTTATGATAGGTAAAAAAGGGGAAAGAACTTCAGATAAGGAAGACTCGATAATACAGCGCTTAGTTACAAACGTGGCATTGAAAGTAGTCGGACCCATTCACTCCAAAAAAACTATATTCTCTGCAACATCACATTGGTATGCAGGCCCTTCGCATTTTAAACCGTTATGTTTAATAGGATATAGTAGTTGAGCATATTAAAAGGGTTTAACTGCAATCACAATTACTCAATGTTCGCTGACCCCTATACAGATTTGCCATGAAGCTATGAAAGGAAGCATTCCAGATCATGAACAAATCGGATAAAGTCGGTTGCGCTGTAAAGCAATGGACGCAGAAAGTAATCGTCAACAGCAATCTTAGTGCATCCGACTATATTTTGAAGAAAGAAGAAGCGCTCGCGAGTGAAAGAGATATGGGACTTCTGGCGTGTTATTTCAATTTTTATCAAAACAAATCTTTTTCTTTGTCTGGCCCATACTGATGTTTTGGTAAAGCGTGCATTCTTTATGAAATGTTGCAAGTTATTTTAATTTATCCTATCAAAGCAGATTTCTTTTCTTTGTCTGTACCATACTGGTGTTTTGGTAAAGTGTGCATTTTTTTCTATGATAGTGAACATTTGAAATGATATATGTGAGGGACCTTATCCTACTAAAAGAACTCGATGAAAGTATCTGTTGTATGTGTCTGAAGGTCTTTCTAATTCGTAGAACAAGTCTTAGCCAAAGCATTTAGCCCATTTTTTTTGCATAAAGCATGTAGGTGCAACATGACAAAGCACGTGCGGATTCGTTGTGCGGGTTAAAGATTGCGTGCAAAAGGGATCCGCATGATTTTTGGCCCGCAAAAGTGGTGTATTATGACTTTTTACAAAGCTGTGGATGTCATCGACAACTATTAATCTGTTGACTAAATTTTGCTGAGTCCGTAACTTTTCGCTTTTTGGTACAGGGCGTTCAAGTTTTGGTATTTCATAGAATGCCGTGTGGACTACGAACTGGCATAGATCGCTCGCTTTTCGATAGCAAAATGTAAGAAATCTAAAAGTTTGTCCATGATATGTTATAAAACTGAGCTTCCTTGTGTACCTACGTGTCTTTCTGTGTGTAGTTTGTTCCGAACAGAAAATTGCCCTTTTTCAACCATTTTGGACTAAACTACACGTCAGATGAAGGCGAGTTACGAACTATTTTTGAGCAATATTAATTTTATCGATTCACTGTTTGAGCTATAGAGCTGGGAGTTGGCACAGGGAGCAAGTGAACATGCTAATTGCGAGTACAACACTTTTGGAGTATGTTCCCTCTTTTGATTTCATAGAATTTTGGTGCAAATTTCGAGCTGGCGTGAGGAGATGGTACAGGACGTAAGTGAGCGTGCTGCCTACGGAGATTGGTGACAGGAAACCGGTATATGTCCAGAAGTGGGACAGAGGGCAGAAGAATGCTGTATAAAATTAGGAGATGAATTTATAATGTGTTGAGGGCCGGGTGGATTCAGTTATCCAGCTGATGCATCAAAAATTGCAGTCAAACCTTGATAAAATATGTGCAATATAATAAGGAGAGCTTATGCAGTACTATACTATAAAGGAACTCGTAAATTCCAAGCGGAGCGGTCAAATTTGAAACTTAAACAAAATTCTTCGCTTTGAAAAGTTTGAGATATTGTTATATGTTCACTCATATCTAGACTTCATCAAAGATAATCCAAGTTTTTGCTACAGGTCTATCATACAGCATAAACTTTCAGACGCGCAGTCATCCACTCATACCCTGTACGCGCACAAGGCCTTTTTTGAAAGAGCGCTCTAAGTTACATTGGCAAAAACAAAAGCACGATTTGTTTCGACAAAAGTTTGACCTGCAGAGTACCGCCATCGGCATGTTAGGCAGCGTCCGGCAAGTCTGGACATAGTCTGGACAGTCTGGACACGCGTGGTCCTCGCGCGAAACAATGTGTTGCGCCATGAATCCATGCGAATACGATCCCGGGGTCCAGTTTGGAGGCGAATATTTCAACTGTGAGCTCACCATTTGAGCTGCCGTTTGAGCAGTGTTTTAGTTAGGGCTCCAAGATTGTCCTCTAAGTGAGATCCCCATAGGCCCAGATTTGCTTGGACGCTGCCTTTAACTAACATTATAAAGAGCAGTTGGCTTGTCCTCTTTTGTTGAAACCTCGGCATCGTAAAGTATGTGATACTGTTTTCTTATGCCATACGAGGTTTGGTGAAGCTCTTTATTGCGGCCTTACGTTTCGACTTATCGTCGTCTTCAGAGGCCTAAAGTGGTGCGAGATTTTGACCTTGTGCTCTATTCCACCAGATGCCTTATCGACCTCAAGCTAGTTTCGAACCCCCCACTGATTTCAGTAGCTATACTCGTAGAAAGTGAAAGACGAACTAACCCTTGCTTCGCTTCACCGTTGGAGCACTGATGGTATTGTGCAACCACGCCCTTTGGTGTCAGTAGTGCCAATAAGCCATTTTAGGAAGCTTATGGGTCGGTGTAATCACTACTGATTTATAGCTCACATAGCGGTTAAACGGTAAGAAGTCATTCGTGATCGTTAAACATTCCTTTCTGTTGTTCATCGATGGGTTTCTCTGTGAGATCCAGAATGCTTCGAGAGTTTTTCGCGCAGATGTGTTAGACTCGCAAGCCAAGATCGTGCACTTGATCTCATAGTCTGCATCACCATGTTGTTCATGCCTATGTTTCCCGAGTGGTGAGTTTAGACCGCCACGTCGTTTATCGGCTAGATGTTCTTTAAGTCTAACACTTAGCGGTCTTCCAGTCTCTCCAATGTAGGACGCGCCGCATGTTATACAGTCTATCTGGTAAATCACTCCAACTTTCGCGCAGTCGCCAACATTGCCATACGGACAAACTCTGCATTCTTTTGTGATGCAAAATTTGTCATAAAGTCTATTGCGTACAAGCTTTCTCTTGATGTTCGCGCTTGGTATGTCTACTAAAATGATATCGTTGCTCAAATGTGCTCGCTCAATGCTTCGCCGTATAGCAACACTTACTCGATCAGAGATGAAAGGTAAACAGAGAGGAATTTTGTTGTTGCGTTGAAGCATCTACGTTGTGCATCGAGTAGCCATTACCTCTAACGATGTCCAGCGCCAAATCTCGTGATTCCTTCCGTTCCTTTTCTCCCGTGCAAACCTGTGTTGCAGTCTTGAACATATTGTGGATAACACCACGTTTGACGGCTGAAGGATGAGCAGAGCGGGCGTTTAACAAGATGTTTTTCAAGCTTGATTTACGATACCATTTTACAATCGCGTGAGATCCGGACAGTTTAAATGTAACAGTTTAACTGTAACATTTTAACATTACAGTTTATAAACTGTCCGGATCTCACGCGATTGTAAAATGGTATCGTAAATCAAGCTCGAAAAACATCTTGTTAAACGCCCGCTCTGCTCATCCTTCAGCCGTCAAACGTGGTGTTATCCACAATATGTTCAAGACTGCAACACAGGTTTGCACGGGAGAAAAGGAACGAAAGGAATTACGATATTTGGCGCTGGACATCGCTAGAGGTAATCGCTACTCGATGCACAACGTACGTAGGCCAGGTACCTCGCATGAGATGCTTCAACGCAACAACAAAATTCCTCTCTGTTTACCTTTCATCTCTGATCGAGTAAGTGTTGCTATACGGCGAAGCATTGAGCGAGCACATTTGAGCAACGATATCATTTTAGTAGACATACCAAGCGCGAACATCAAGAGAAAGCTTGTATGCAATAGACTTTATGACAAATTTTGCATCACAAAAGAATGCAGAGTTTGTCCGCATGGCAATGTTGGCGACTGCGCGAAAGTTGGAGTGATTTACCAGATAGACTGTATAACATGCGGCGCGTCCTACATTGGAGAGACTGGAAGACCGCTAAGTGTTAGACTTAAAGAACATCTAGCCGATAAACGACGTGGCGGTCTAAACTCACCACTCGGGAAACATAGGCATGAACAACATGGTGATGCAGACTATGAGATCAAGTGCACGATCTTGGCTTGCGAGTCTAACACATCTGCGCGAAAAACTCTCGAAGCATTCTGGATCTCACAGAGAAACCCATCGATGAACAACAGAAAGGAATGTTTAACGATCACGAATGACTTCTTACCGTTTAACCGCTATGTGAGCTATAAATCAGTAGTGATTACACCGACCCATAAGCTTCCTAAAATGGCTTATTGGCACTACTGACACCAAAGGGCGTGGTTGCACAATACCATCAGTGCTCCAACGGTGAAGCGAAGCAAGGGTTAGTTCGTCTTTCACTTTCTACGAGTATAGCTACTGAAATCAGTGGGGGGTTCGAAACTAGCTTGAGGTCGATAAGGCATTTGGTGGAATAGAGCACAAGGTCAAAATCTCGCACCACTTTAGGCCTCTGAAGACGACGATAAGTCGAAACGTAAGGCCGCAATAAAGAGCTTCACTAAACCTCGTATGGCATAAGAAAACAGTATCACATATTATAAAGAGCTGTCAAGGCTCCCACAAATGAAAAAAACTTTTTACAATTAAGACGCTATGACATCAAATTCGGTGTGCGCATGTGCGTGGGGAGACCACAACTATGACCCAAAAAGTCATAAAATCTTAAATTAATGAAAGCCTTGCTTAACAATTAGTGGAGTGGCTCCAGCTGGGTGTCAGCTGAGCTGCAACCGACCCTTTGCTCACACAGTTTTCATACTTTTTCTTAGACAAAATGTACCTTCGCCAAAAAACTTATCATACAAAGAAAAATGTTTCGTAATTTTTTCTTTAGGTTTGTATAATAGCCCTCAAAATTCGTTCGCGGTAAAATCTGCTCCGGTCGCAAAGCAGCCTCTGAACAAACCCGACATCCTCATTTCTGCTAAGCACTCGGGTGTCCTATGCTTACCTAGATGTTTTCTTTCTTTTTTTCATTTGTTGTTCTATAATTTGTTCGTTTCAATCACGGGGAGGGGAGGGGGAGGGGGGGGGGGGAGAGAGAGAGAGAGAGAAGGATCAGGCGGAAGGTACGGAGAGAGAGATTGACGGAAATGAAGGTTTTCTTTGTTTTTTTGACTTTTTGCGCATCATTCCAGGTTGGGCCCCAGTCCCACACAGATAAAGGGCAAAAAGCCAAGTAGAGAGGGGTGGGGGTTTGAAAAAATGTCGAATGGAACTTCAAGAATTATTCTGTCGGTTCCTGTGGATTTCGTTTCACTCCTCGGTTTTGGCTGCTGAGGCAACGCTTAATCAGTCTTAACCGCCAATTAGTCATACCTACCCGCTAATGTTGCATGTACTGCAAATTTGACCAAATGCGAGTAAAGTGTATATGGCGCAAAAAAAAGTGCGCGTTGTGCTTTCGTACTTAGGTATTTTCCGCATATACATTTTCATATTGCGTAGAAAAAAATTCTTGCAAATGGACTGAAGTGATAGTACAAAGTGCACTTTGCAAGCACAGCTTAGAAT